ATAGAAGCGAGCTGTTTGTTCAACATCGCCGCAAGGCCCTTCCCGGAGGCGTCATCAACTGGAAGCAAATCGGTAATGCGACGGATCGTGCTGCACTGCGCTGACAAGGCTTCAATGTCAGCTTCGCAAGAGCAACCTGGAAGATGAACGACCCCGACATCGACGAACATGGTTTGACATATGGTTGTCTGGATTTTTCTTTTCTTCCAGACGCTTGCATTGGTCGCGTCCGATTCCACTGAATGCATGACCAGGTGAGTCGATGCGGACTCTGAGATCGCTTTTTTCATATCGTTGTAGAACACACGCGCCGACTGGCACAAAGCCGACCCCGTATAGATCTCCGACCGCACGACGGTCTTCGCAGACACATCTTCACATATAGCTTTTCCCAAGTCGTTGGCAGCGATATTTGAGAAGTTCCTATGGGAACGCACCCGAACCCCGGGGGGCCCATCCAACTCCTCCACCCCCACCTCCCCCTCCCCCTCCCCCCATCCACCCTTCAGGCCCCCCTCCTCCTCCTCCTCCTCCTCCTCCTCCTCCCCCTCCTCCTCCCTCCTCACCCCCCCTCTTCCCGGAAACCTCGAAGACGGGTCCCATGGGCCCCGTGATATCCCGCATTAGTTTTGCCCCCCCTGACCTGCGTAAGGCCAGGCTGACGTGGGCGCGCTGAGACAAGTACTTGCCCTTCCTTCCAGGGCGCGCCAGGGCCATCGCATCGTCGTCGTCGGGCTTCCGTGTGGAAGGTCTCCCTCGTCTTTTTGGTGGGTTTTTTTTTGCCAAGCTCATCCGACGAACCTTTTGCCTAAGTATCCTGATTGTATGGCTCTGCTCTTTGACGGTCCGTTGCAAAGCGATGATCTGGCCCTGGCCCTGGCGCACCTGGCGGGCCTGAAAGGGTGCGAGCACCTGCCCGAGCGGGCCGGCGGGCGGCGGCGGCGGCAACCCCGCGCTTGCCCAGGGCACGATGCTGGACTCCACCGCTGCGGCAGCCTGGCGAGGAGCGCAGGCGGGAGGGGAGGGGGAGGGGAGGGGGCGGCGGTTGTCACACCCCTTGGCTCCCCTCTATCCTGACCCCCATCCCAGGGCCTCCTCCCCCCCTCCACTCCTCGCCATCCCAATCTATCACGCATATGTTTGCAGATGCATCCCTCTCTCTCTCTCTCTCTCTCTCTCTCTCTCTCTCTCTCCATATATGAACATGGATGCGCATCAATCTCTCTCTCTCTCTTTCTCTACCTCTCTCTCTCTATATATATGTATCCCCCTCCCTCTCTCTATATATGTATATACATATGTAAATATCGCCATCTCTCTCTCTCTCTCTCTCTCTACCTCTATCTCTATCTCTCTCTCTCTCTCTCTCTCTATTTCTCTCTCTCTCTCCCTCTCTCTCTCTCTCTCTCCCTCTTTCTCTCTCCCACTCCCTCTCTCTCTCTCTGTCTCTCTCTCTCTCTCTCTCTATGTCTCTCCTCTCATTCCCTCTCCTCTCTCTCCATCTGTATATATACATATATTTGTATACATATCTCACTCTCTCTCTCTCTCTCTCGCTTTCTCTCTCTCTCTCTCTCTCTCTCTCTCTCTCTCTCTCTCTTTCTCTATATATATATATCCCTCCCTCTCTCTCTCTCTCTCTCTCTCTCGACGCACGCTATCTGCCTATATCCGATCTCCTCCTTCTCCCCAGTCTCATCCCTCCTGCATTGCATCCTCCCCCCGGCCCGTTCCTCCTCCCCTCCGCCCCTCTTCCCCTTTCCTTTCCGCCAACCTCCTGCCGCCTCCTCCTCCTCCTCCTCCTCCTCCTCCTCCTCGTCATCCTCTTCCCCCTCCTCCTCCTCCATCTCGCTTGTCCCCCTCCCCCCTCCTCCCCTCCTCACCGCCCCCCACTTCCTCCCCCCTTCCGCCTGCATGTCGTCGTCGGCGTCGTCGTCGATGACGATGGGCCCAGCGGCGACGACGGCGCCCGCGAGCAGCTCCCGCAAGTGCGTCTCGACCGAGTCCAACTCCTGGGCCCCGGGCAACGACGACGACGACGACGACGACTCGACGACGACGAGGACGACGACGACGACGATGACGACGACGACGACGACGACGACGACGACGACGACGACGACGAGTACGACGACGACGACGACGACGACGACGACGACGAAGACGACGACTACGATTACGACGACGACGACGACGACGACTCGACTCCGACTCCGACTCCACCGACTCCGACGACGACGACGACGACGACGAGGACGACGACGACGACGACGACGACGACTTGACTCCGACTCCGGCGACGACGGCGAGAGCGAAGGTAAGGAAGACGAGAGGAGAGGAGAAGAGAGGAGGCGAGGAGAAAAGAGAGAGGAGGGAGAGGGGAAGTGCCCTGCCCCTCCAATCCTGGCCCGTCAGCGGCAAGCCCATGGCCTGCAGGACGCCGAAGGAGAGCAGGCCGGGCCCCTCCGCGAACTCCGCCTTGAGCGCCGCGCTGGCGCCTTCGCGGAGGAAGAGGAGGAGGTCGAGGAGGAGGGGGAGGAGGATTTTTTCTGTCAAACTCGCCTCGGCCATACAGGCCCCGCACCGCCGGCACCGCCGACACCCGCAGGAGCACCTGCCCCTGCATCCCGCCCCGCAGCTGGGCGTGCGGGGCGAGGGCAAGGCCGAGCCGCGCCGGGCTGGCCATCCCGGCCGCGGCGGCGGAGGGGCCGCGCGGGGCCGCGCGGGGCCGCGCCGCCGCGCGAGAGAAATTGCGGCAGGGAAGTGGTGCAGGCAGGAGGAAGGGGAGGAGTAGGAGGGGGAGGGGAAGGAAGGGGAGGAGGGAGGGAGAGAACAGGAAACGGAGGAGGAGAGAAGGAAGGAGACGGAGGAGGAGGACCTTCCTGCCTCCTTTTCCTCCTCCTCCTCCTCCTCCACCCTCCTCCTCTCCTCCACCTCCTCTACTCGAACGGGAACGCGGAGCGCCCGAAGTTCGATCGGATCCCGATTTGCGATGTCGGAAATCACGTTTTCGAAATCACAAATCCGAAGATGGAGCCGCCGAAACCCGATAGGGGCGTGATTTGCTACAGCCAAAGTTTGTGTTTGGAACGCCCGAAACCAGATAAGGGCCCGATGTGTTAGCCCGCGCACTGCTTTTTCAACGCCCAGAACCTGATCGGGGTCCGATTTGTTACGTGCGGAAGCGCCCGAGGGGAACCCCAAATCTCGAGGGGTCCCAGCGCTTAGGTTTCGGAATAAACGCGCGATGTGACCCTTACGAGGGGAGGGACGCTCAGCACCGATCCAGGAAGTCCGCGCGGCTACGCATGAGAGTGACACTTTCGGGCGGGGCTGGAACACGGATGAATCGTTCCAGCGCGTTCCCGAACGCTTCCAGGCGTCCCGGGACGCTCTGGAAGGCCGCGGCGCCCGACACATTCTCCAGCACCGCCAGGTCTCAGAGATCCCCGAGGCGGCCCTGTCCGATGCATCTCCAGATCTCAGAGATCCCTGGCTGCGCGCAGCATCGAAGAACAAGCAACGGATGTCTCGAATCTCCCCGCGGATTTCTTGGATCGGCGCTGGGCCACCCTGGCGCCGCCGCCGGCGCGCTCCGCGCGCCAGGGAGGGGTGCCCAGCACCGATCCTTGGCCGCGTCTTGGGGGCCCCATTGGGGGCCTCTTCCCTGACCTTCCAGAGAGCTACTTTTTAGCACTGGAGGCTTAAACACCTAAACAACTGAACGAAACAGCCTAAAACCAAGACGTAGAACAGCTCTGGGATCGGTTTTAGGTCGGGTGCTATGTTTTTGCCCTCCTGGAAGGTCAGGGTTGGGGGGCTCTCCTGGGGGCCTCCTTGGGGCTCCTTGGCGGCGTCTTCCCTGACCTTCCAGGAGGGCTAAAAAATAGCGCCCGACCTAAAAACCTATCCCAGAGCTATTCTACGTCTTGGTTTTAGGCTGTTTCGTTCAGTTGTTTAGGTTTTTAGGTCTCCAGTGCTGAAAAATAGCTCTCTGGAAGGTCAGGGCAGGGGACCCCTTTGGGGCCTCTGGGGGGGGCTCTCTCGGGGGGGCCCCTCGCTGCCCCTCGGTGAGCGGGACCCGTCGCCGGAGGGAGACCTCCGCGTGCGGGCCCACCAGGCTCCCCGAGCACTGGCGCGCGCGGCGGGCCGCCTGGGCCCCCCTCGCGGGGCCCCCCGGAGGCCGCGTTTTCCCCAGACCCCCGACGCCATGATCTGCTCACTACGTTTAATTCGGGCCTGCCCCCCTTCCAGGGGGATTCTTGACGACAAATAAGACATACCCCAAAAACAATCCAGAGAGAGTCCAGAAATACAATCGGGGCGCTGAAGAAAGAACCCTTTTTGTTCGGGAGGGGCTCAGTGTTCCTTAGTCGTTGTACAGTTCGCCTTTGGTATGCCTATGGTTTTCGATGGGAAATCGAAGCTTAACTTATGGAAGAAAGGGGCCTCGTTCCTTATGTGGGGTTCCTTAGGTCAACGCCCCAACTGTAGTCTGGGGATTATTTTTTTGAGTATTGTTTGACCTTGTTGGGGTATCTTTGGGGTATTTTTCATTTTTCGTCGAGGGACAGGCCCGACTTAACACTAATTACGTCGAGCCCCACAGTTCTCGACCCAGTCCCCGGGGCTGGTCTCTCGTCTCGAGTCGTTCCGTCGACGGCCCCGAGGAGCAAGGGCCCCCATGGGGCCGAAAAAGCAGCGAGAGAAAGTTCCCGGCGTGATTGTTTCATGGCTCGAGGGGGTCGGGGCTGGGCCTGGCCCCCTCACGGGCCCCCCTGATAACCAGCCTCGAACTTATCCCTATCTCTAAGATGGGCGAGCAAAAAGCGAGGACAATCTTAGGGATAGGCCCTCAGAAGCTGAGGAAATCCTTAAGATCGGCATCGAGGTGAGGTGATGTCAAGCATAGGGATAGGGATATGCTTCATACTGGTAACCTGAGGCCGCTTTCCAGAGACCGCGCTGTCCCAGGGCCACTCCTTGCCCTGCTGCCCGAGGTCTGCGGCGCCACTGGGGCCGTGCCGGACGGCCCGTGTTCTCGCTGCGGCGTGCGCTCGCTCTCGCTGGAGGAGCTGGCCGAAGAGGACGAGGAGGATAGGCTACGCATCACCCAGACGTGCTCGCGTCGTGAGGAAATGAAGACGGGAGGTTAGGGGCCGTTTTCGGCCTCCGGGGGCTCTGACCGGGCCTCGGGACCGTCAAAAAAGGATGCAGGATGAGAAACCGGCCTCGGAGGAAGGGTCAGGATTTCCAGGGGCACCGCGCATTGAAGAAGTCGGGGCGTCGCATGTCTGGGAAGAGTGCCCCTTCGCCGACGTGGCCCTCGGTGCGGGCCCACAGGGGTCCCGCCAGCACTGGCCAGCGCGCTTTGATGGCGTTGGTTTGGCCTCCCCCGCGGCCCCCTCCAGCCGCTCACCGAAGACCACTCTTGCCTGGGGCCACCATCCTGTGTGCGGCTGGGAGGAGGAGGAGGAGGAGGAGGAGGAGGAGGAGGAGGAGGGAAAAGGAGGAGGAGGGGGAGGGGGAGGAGGGAAGAGGAGAGGGAGGAGGAGAGGGAGGAGGAGAGGGAGGGAGGAGAAGAGGGAGCACGAGAGGGAGGAGGAGGAGGAGGAGGAGGAGGAGGAGGAGGAGGAGGAGGAGGAGGAGGATGAGGAGGAGGAGAGACCGAGTGAATGCCACCCTTCTCCCGCGGCCACGACTGGTTTCGCCAAGGAATCCTGGCCATCAGCGTACGAAGACAATAAAAATACAGTCGGACCGAGTTAGAAGATCGAGGTCGGTTCGGGGAGGGTATCCCTGCGCTCTTCGTGCTTGTTTGATGCTCTTGTGCGTCCTGGGGAGGATGCCCTTGGATGTTCTGTGTTGGCCGGCGGAGAGTCTCATGTTCTTGAGGGATGCTCTTCTGGCCCAGGTCCGACTGTGCTTTGCCCCGCCTCCCTGGCGCAGGCGCCCCCGACGGCGGGTCAGTTGATTTCACGCCGCTCTCGCCGTCGCCCCCCACGGCGGGTCAGAACGCGCCCCAGGGAGGTCCCTGGAGCAGCGGCATGCGTTATGCTGTTCCCGTCGCACTGAGGGACCACATACCAGAAATAAGTTCGAGCCCCGAGAACAGTATCAAAGCAGTGTCTGCCCGACACGCTGGCGGAGTGTCGAACGAGTGTCGCCTCCCAGGGCCCGACGCGTGAGAACCCTCCGGTTTCGGCACGCTCATGGCGCTCAACATGACTTCTGGTGGTTAAGGCTAAGCAGGTTGGAACAGAATGAGGCATGGTGATCGTGTTCTTACTCATTGTTCTGCCGATCGGCGCGGGCCCCTCCCGGCCCCCCTCACCCCAGTGGAGTAGATCTTGGCTGTTTTTGGCTCCTGTTTCAGGCAGGCGGGGCCTCCTCCATACGACGCACTGCCGCAAGCAGTCGCACGACGCAGAGGTCTGGAGCCAGACCCCCCCCCCTCCCCCCCCCTTCCGCCCAGTGTCGAAACGCCGAATAAGAAAGCGCTCAAATGGGCATCTCTTTCATACCTTCCTCCTCGCCTCCTCCTCCTCCTCCTCCTCCTCCTCCTCCTCCTCCTCTCTCCTCCTTCCTCCTCCTCCTCCTCTCTCCTCCTCCTCCTCCTCCTCCTCCTCCTCCTCCTCCTCCTCCTCCTCCTCCTCCTCCTCCTCCCCCGAGGAACGCCCGCCGAGGGCGCCTCGGAGCCCCTCCGCTCCAGACGGCCAGCTCCCCCCCGCCACCCGGGAGGGCCGACCCTGGACGAGCCCCGCTGCTGGAGGCCAGGGCTGGGCTCAAACAGCGTTGTGGCCATCTCGTGGGCAGTCTCGTGTTTCGTCGTGCTTCGCAGTCCCCAGACCCCCTCGAGTAATGAAAAAAACATGACGGGAGGTTTTTCCTGAGTTTCGGCCTCCAGGGGCCCCTCACCGGGCCTCGGGAGCGTCAAAAAACGACTCAGGACGCAAAGCCGGTCATGGGGAAAGGGTCGGGACCTCTGGGGGCCGACGTAATGAAAAAATCATTGCGTCGGGGGTCTGGGTCAGGCGAATCGGAGGCACAACGAGGAAGAACGAAACACAAGACGAAACGAGGAGCGCCGTTTAGGTTCAGCCCTGCTGGAGGTGGGGCGTGGAGCGGCCCTGGCTCGCCCGCGCCTGCCACGGCGCCGGCCCGCGGCATCGGTGAAGCTGCCCCCATCCCCACATCATCTTGGAGCCGCCCGAATGTCTGAGGTGGGGTTCCAGCCAGCAGGAAGGGCTGGGAGGTTCGAGGCTCTGCCTTCGGAAGGGCTGCGGGCCGTCTTCGGCTTCCAGGGCTGGTTGTCGGGCCCCGGGAAAGAAACAAACGGACCCGGGGTGAAAAATTGCATCAGATGGACCCCAGGAGGGGTCAGGGGATCGATTTTGGGCAGATTTGGCATCCTCCTCCCCTCCTGACCGTGTTTCGGGAGTCCCAGCCATGTCAGACCCCCCAGCCGCTTCCAGGCTCAGCCACACCATCCCACCACCCCAGTTGGGGATAGGCCCCTCGAAACCCGACGGGAACAGCCTATACGCCCATCGGGAGGGGGGGGGGATCGGCCAGTGGGCCCCCTGCCACGCCAGCGGAGATGGGGATCGGCCAAGCGACACTCAGGCCATGGGCCTGCAGCCCATGGAAGTGTACCAGCAGCTCGAGGAGAGGAGGCTGGGCTTGCTGCAGGAGCTCGCCGAGGTGCACGAGCAGCAGCAGCGCACTCTGGTGGGCTGCATGCGGGGCCTGATGGAGAGCCGCTCGCCCCAGCCGCGGCTGTCGCCGATCTCCAGCTTCGCCGGGCATGGTCTGGGGATCCAGTGCGACCGGGTCGGCGTCGGCTTGGCCCAGATGTGACCGCTCCGCCGCCGCCTGCGATTGCCACCGCCTCCATCGGATCATCGGCCTTCCTCTCCGCGAGTCCGGGGCCGTCCTGCGCATGTCCACCACGGCAGCTCCTGCACGGCACGGGAGCAAGCCGTTCCCGGTGCCCCTGGCGGCGTGCTCGCCGCGCGTCGTGTCGCGAGCGCCCGTGGGCGCAGTCCGCACGTGATGTTCTCCCCTCTGTCTGCGACTCGCACCGCTTCCCCTCCCCGGGCCCGTCGCGAGGCCTTTCACGACGCGGTCCCCAGCACCAGTTCTTCGCCACCGGTTGTTCTGTAGGGGCTCGGGGCCCCGAGGCAGCCCCCTGGCGCTGAAATTGAAAGAAGATGCTCGTGCCGATGTCGAAAGGCCGTCGGCCCATCCTGCTACCGTGCCTGGGCTGTGGGTGTGAAACCTATTGGGTGTTCGTCGGGATTTCGTGGGAGGCCTCTTGGGGGCCTCTTGGAGGCAGTTTGGACGCGTCTCAGGGGCCGTTCTGGGGCCTCTTTTGGGGCCTCTTGTGGGCCTTGGGCCTCTTGGGACCTCTTGGGGGCCTCCAAGGGGGGGCTCCACCCTGACCTTCCAGGAGGGCTAAAAAATAGCGCCCGACCTAAAAACCTATCCCAGAGCTATTCTACGTCTTGGTTTTAGGCTGTTTCGTTCAGTTTTTAGGTTTTTAGGTCTCCAGTGCTGAAAAATAGCTCTCTGGAAGGTCAGGGCAGGGGGCCTCTTGGGGCGGGGGGGTGGGATTTGTGGTTCGTGTTCCCCCCTTTTTCCCCTTTTGGGGGCCGTCTTCGGGCCCTCTTGGGTCGTTTTTTGGTGCACTCGCGGAGGTCTCTTGGGCCGTCCTGGGGCGGTCTTGGGGGCCACTAGGGACGCCTGAAAGCGACGGGAAGCCAGACAGGCTAGAAAAAGCATGCAAAGCAAAACCTATGGAAAATCGACGAGTTTGGCCACTTGCTGCCCTCTTGGGGGTCCTGTTGGAGGCCACCGGGAGCTTAGAGGCCTCTTGGGCCGGCTGGGGGCCATCTTGAGCGTCTTGGAGCGATCGCTCGACGCATCGGGGCTCTCCTGGACCGCCTTGAGGGCCTCTCCGGGGCCCTCGCGGCCGGCACTGGGCCCCAAGAAGTCGCGCCGCGGGGGAGCCGCGGGGCAGCCCAGAGGCCTCGCGGCAACCCCCCGCAGATTGTGTAATTTTTTGGGCCCGGCCCCTTTCCCAGACCATCTCGAGCAAGGAAAAGATCATGAGGGAGGGTTTTTCTAAATGTTCGGCCTCCAGGGGCCCTCACCGGGCCTCGGGAGCGTCAAAAAACGGCTCGGGATGCATTGCCGGTCACGGGGAAAGGGTCGGGACCTCTGGGGGTCGACGTAATGGAATGCTCATTGCGTCGGGGGTCTGGGTTATCGACTCCTCAGGAGTGAAGACTGAGGCTCCAGGGATCAGGCAAAGGAACTGAGGACGCGCGCTCTCCGTGCCCAGATGCACAGTGGCGGATGTCCGCAACACTCCTTCCTTCCTTTTTATCGCAGCGGCGTGCGGAAAACTTCTGCTCCTGGTGACCTCCAGCGAGGGGCCGCCAAACCGGCGACGTGCTGCTGCTGTTAGGCTGCGCCGTGTTGGTAGCGTATTCTCCCCGCCAAAGCGTGCTTTTCTCCCTCCATCCAGGAGGATTGGCATCAAATTCGCAACATGCTGCGCACGGGTGCCGGAGGGGGAGCGGGGGAATCGGCTCTGGGGAGTCATTGCCAGTAGGGGACCCCGTGTCCGACCCAGCCAAGGGTCATGAGGTTTCGTTATCGGGGTCGCATCTCAGGCGGGTGGTAATGCGGGGTGGCCTCCACGGGCGGTGAGGAGAAGGGCTCGAAAGGGGCCTCTTCTTCCCCCCCCAATTCAGGCCACCGCCCATTACCACCCGCCCGAGCATCGCGGATCTATCAGCGACGAATGAGCGATTCCAAGCCGATGCTTCCCCCTCCCCCCTGAGCCTGTCCCCCACATGCGGATCCCGCAGTACAGGCCAAACTTACGAGCCGAGCCTAGGTCCGACGTGCAGGCAACGCTGCAAACGTCGGGAGGCCACTGAGCGCAAGAGATGCCAGGCGATGCCAGGCACTTATGCGCGCAGCCAGGCTTCTGGACGATTGATAATTGCACGAATTAGCCTGTAGCAGGCTGACTCGTGCTCGACGGACTTGCATGTAACGTGTTGACCTACGAGACGGTTACAGCCAGTCCAGTCGTCTGGGCAAGCGCTCGGACATTTTTTAAGGCCATGCCCTATCGTTCGTTTGCACACGGTTGCCGGCATCGTCGGGTAGCACCCCAACACCCGCACGCTGGCAGGCTGTATCGCAGAGGTCGTACAGTCTTCTCCCAAATTCCCCGCATGCTCCTCACCCGTCTCGTACTGTGCTTTCCCCCTTGGCATCAATACATCTACCTCTCCATCGTCACCACCGAATTCCCTCGCCTCCCCCGCCTCCCTCCTCCCCATATCCCGCCCGGCTGCTTGAAGATGTCGCCCGCATGCCTTGTGCGTTCTCCCATGTCAGTCGTGGATGATCAGTCTAGGCGGCAAGGGGTGAGGCACGGTCATGTTGACGCTGCCTGCGGCCCGCGTCTGGAGTCTAGCGCCTAGCAGAGAGAGGGAGAGCGAGAGAGAGAGAGACATAGACAAAGACAGGGACAGAGAGAGAGGGAGAGAAAGGCAGGGAAAAAGAGAGAGAGAGAGACGAGCGGAGTGACAGGGGCCAGCCTTCAGCGATCTTGCCGGTCGGAGCCGCTTGTTGACGTTGCCCGTTGTCGCATTGCGACGGCCACGCGGGCGTTGGCACCATTCTCAGCCGCCCCCACAGGCCACAATCATTCGTGATGCCGCTTGCGGCCAAGTCCGGTTTGGCCCCTGCTGTATTTGCTGCCGCTCCTCCTCCTTTCCCTCCTCCGGCCAATCGCCATGAGGAGGAGGAGGAGGAGGTGGATGAGATAAGAACTAGCCAGCAACCACTTCTTCTACACACCCGCCCTTCTCCGAGCCCATCTGTGCCCGTCTTCCTTTCCCTCCTTCTTGGGCCGCGCTGCGCGCGGCAGGGCAGTTCCTGCCTGCGGCGCGCAAGCGAGCCTGCCATGCAGGTGCCAGCCCACTCCCCTCCCTCCGCAGAGCACTGGCGCGGCTCGAACCTGGCGAAGCGCAGCGGCGACCAAGCGCTTCGTGGCCCTGGCTCTGCAGCGGCTGGCGCATCCTGCTTTGTTCACTGCTGTTGGCCTGGAGCAAGCCATCGGCATGTCTGCGCGCAAAGACACAAGATCTGTGACAAGCCACAGGGGGCGGCGGACCCAGTGACCTGATGGCCTTCAGCCCATCCCGCCATCGTGTCTGGGTCGTGAACCTGAGGCCGCTCTATCTTGGGTCGTCCTGGATACCTCTTGGAGGCATCCTGGAGTCTGTGGGCCTCTTGCATGGAGAGAGGGTGGAGGAGAAGAAAGGAAAATGAAAACTCAGAAGAGGTGGAGGAGGAAGAGGAGGAGCAGGAGGAGGAGGGGGAGAAGCAGGAGGAGGAGGGGGAGAAGCAGGAGGAGGAGGAGGAGAAGGAGGAGGATGAGGAGGGTGAGGAGAAGGAGATGGAGGAGGAGGAGAAGGAGGAAGTTGTAAGGAAGCTGGGGTGGCTTCGACGTTCCCAGAGGGCTCTGAGGGCGAAGGGGGAGGCGGAGGAAGGGGAACAGGAGGAGCAGGAGCGGGAGCATTAACAGGAACAAGCAGGAGTCTGGAGGGAACAAAACACGAGACACAAATAATAGCCGATGCCCGGGAAGACATGGGAGAATATGGGAAGTGGAGGGAAAGACGAAACTCCGAAAGATACGGAAACAGATTAGGAATCCTTGGACTCGTGCCCATTCATTGGTGTGTCCCTGGTCCCCTGCAAGACGGAGGCTCCTGGAGAGAGATGTGAGCCGGCGGCGGGCGCCCGCCCTGACACGATTCGCGACCCCACCTAGCCTATCGGCCTCTGCAGGGGGAAAGGTGCAGAGGGGAAGACAACGTTTGAGCGATCGGTTCGTTCGATCGCAGCATTGGTCGAGCGAACCGATCGGCCCGATCCGATCGAGCGAGTCGATTCGCTCGGCCGGGTCGATCGCAGCATCGGCCGGCCGAACCGATTGACAGCGTTTGTTCGCAGCATCGATCGATTCGCTCGCGCACACCCCCATACAGCTCCGACCGCGCACGCGATCCTGTCGGTCTGCGGTTGGCGCAGGCGCTCGGAGAGCCATGGAGGACAGGATGATGTTCGGGCCGGACGAAAGGGGGGGATTGGGAAAGGGGGGGTTACGAAACTTGCTGCATGCAGCTGGTTTCGGCCTCACCGAGGGGCCCATTCCTCGATACATAGTCGCCTCCGGCGCCGGGAGGCGCCGGGAAAATCAGCTATGCGAGCTGATTCTCAAGCCCCCCCTTTGCTATCCCCCCCTTTCGCCCGACCCGAGATGTGAAGGAGGGGAAGGGGAAGGGGAGAAAAGGACGCGGAGCGCCAGCTGCCCCAGCAGGGAGCCGTGCATTTGGTGAGTTTTTTGCCGATAAACCCTAAACCCGAAACCCGAAACCCGAAACCCGAAACCTAAACCCGAAACCCGAAACCCGAAACCCTAAACCCGAAACCCTAAACCCTAAACCCTAAACCCTAAACCCGCGGTGTGTGCCAGAGGCGAGCCGACACGCTCTCGGAGGAGTTTTTGCTTCCCGGCGGCAGCGATTTTGCAGCTGCGATCGCCTCGCAGTGTGCACCAGGAGCAGGCCAGCACGCTCGGAATACTCCAGAGTTCGTAATAAAAGGGAGGGGGGTCTCATTTCGGGGGGGGTCTCTTCCAGGCTATCTTGGGGTCTCATTTCGAGGGGGGTCCTCATTTCGGGGGGGGTCTCATTTCGGGGGGGGTCTCATTTCGAGGGGGTCATTTCGGGGGCGTCAACGATTACAGCTACTCCAGATTTCGTAAAAAAGGGAGGGTCTGGACCCTCCAAGACAGGCCATTTCAGACCCCCCCCCCCCGTGGGAGAACCCTCCAAAAAACATCGTCCCCAGACCCCCCCCCAGGCTCTCCAAGATAACCTGGAAGAGAGACCCCCCCCGAAATGAGACCCCCCTCCCTTTACTACAAAATCTGGAGTACGATCGCATCGCAGTGTGCACCAGGAGCAAGCCAGCACGCTCGGGATAAGCTTCTTGGCAGCAGCACGGGCAGCGCAAGGTGCACCGGAGCAGGCCAGCATGTCTGAGGCGAGCTTCTGTTAGCGGACGAGCGGTATATATAGAGCGGTTGTTCCACCGTCGGGGACGTTTTCCCCAGGGCGGCTGGAACGTTTGCACCCCTAGGGTGGCACGTCGGGGTGCGTAGAAGTTGTCCATCCGCCTTGGGGGAACGCCTCCGAGACAGCGGAAACAGCATATGCTGAACCGCGCTTCGCTCGCTCGTTCTAGCCGACCAGGTAGGTCCAACACGTGATGCTCGCCGCGCGCGAGCAAGTTCGTTCGGGGGGAGCGCCCCAGCAGCAGCAGCCTCAGCCGGGCAGAGTGCACGGGAAGACGCTCGGAGTGGGTGAGCGTCTTGCCGACAGCGCCGGCGAGGCGGTGCGCGCTGTCGGAGCCAGAATCACGTCCCGACAGTAACGTTCGCAGCCACGACTGATAATGCAGGAGTGCGACTAGCTCTGCGACGAGAGCGTCCTTCCCCTGAATCAAGGGCAGAAAAAGAAAACGCCCCTACCCTGGTTTACGAGGTGCTGTGCGCTGAAACTCCTGTGGGCTGACATGGTAAACCCTGCGTGATGTGCCGCGTCCTGGCGGCCCTAGGCTTTGGGGGTTCCCAGGAGGTTTACAGACCACGCACTTATAACCCAGGGTAGGGTCGTTTTTTTATCCCTCAACTGAACGAACGGTCAGTGGAGCCGCGCCGCACGGCGCATCGGCTAAACAGCACAAGGCTAATTACAACAGCTCTAACGGACAGCCTCTCAGAAAGCATACGCCTGGGCAACGCTTCTCCACCGAGCCCTGCTATAGTTCGGCCCGAGCTCGGCGCGCACAGATGTGCCAGAAGCCGAGCATGCTAGCGACGCGTGCTCATGCATTACGCGAGCCCATGTCAATCTGGGGCGGCCTCGTGCTCTTCTTCCGTGTAGGATCGGCGGGTTCACGCTCCCGGGTGCGAACACTACATCACGAGCTGCTGAGTCCGGCATGCTGCCAAGCTTCCCGAACATATCGAATTGTTTCATGAGAATGTGGCTGCTAAGACGGTGCTGCCCGGCTTGTTGCCGCACGCTGTGGTTGGACACGTGGGAGATCATGGAATAAGGAATTTTTAGTATTTTGCGCAGACACTGGGCCTGGAACGCATCAAGTTTGTCCCTCTCTGCTTTCCGCAAGCACAAAGCCTCGATGCTGTAGGAGAGCTTGGAAATTACGCACGCGTTGAACAGCATGATCTTTCTGCTCCGACTGATGTTCGCGTGCCCCCATACCAGGCATAACTTATCAAGGGCTCCCCTGGCCTCCCCCAGTCTGCGCGCCAGAGACGCGCCCGCGTTACAGTCAACGTTCAAGAGGCCACCAAGATATAAAGCTGAACTGGTCGTGTTGACCGGGTCCCCGGTGGATGTGAGCATTGGCGTTGCATGCCGAACTTGTAAATGCACAGTTTTCCCCCAGTTGGGCTCTAGACCGTACCTCCACGCATGTTGAACAAGAGTGCGTAAGAAAAATTGCAGACGAGGGATGTCATCAGATATCAAGGCGGTGTCGTCTGCATACGCAACGTCTAAGCAAGTATTCCCCTCACCGAGTGGACCACATTCTCGTACCATCACTTCTTCGACGTCTGTCAGCAAAACGGACAACATGATGATGAACAGATAAGGACTCAGCGGGCACCCCTGCGCTATGCCAGATTGCTGGTCGAATATACCAGACTCCCCGTGCGCATCGCGCACGTCAAAAGTTCGGTTGTCGTAAATATCTGTAACGATATCGATATACTCGTCCGGGATGCCAAACCGGGACAATGCGACGACCAATGCAGCCGCGTCCACTCGATCAAAAGCCTTGGACCAATCAAGCAGCAGCACGGACAGGCAGCCGTCCTTGGTCGACAATGCCTTCTCGATTAATCTCTGAACAAGAAAATACGCATCGCTGGCCCCACGGCGTCGTCTGAAACCGAATTGCGTTGGCCGCAAGCGTTCCTCAACTCCTCCCTGAGCCATGCGGCGCAAGATGAGGGCGGCGATGACTTTGTAGCCAACAGACAACAGCGATATTGGGCGGTAGTTCTCTGGCAGAGACACGCCCCCCTTTTTGAACACAGTGGATACACTGAAATGCTTCCAGCGCTTCGGCACGGTCTTCTCTCTCCAGAACACATTACAAAGATTGAGAAGAATATCGCACGCGTCTGCGTCAGACCGCAATGCTTTCCAGAGGTCGGGGGGGATGCCGTCTGGTCCAGCTGCTCTCCCTGCCCGCATCTGTGTCAACACTGCTGCCAGCTCCTCGCAGGAGAAGTCGCCAGCCTGCAGAGGAAGCACAGGGCCAAGTTTGCCACCGTGTGGAAGAGCTCTGCCAAGCGGCGGCGGTTTCCACTGCACCGTGGCGTAATGCTTCGCCATGGTTTCGGCGCGCTCATGACTACCGACAAGATTCCCACTCGCGTCTCTGAGCCGCCCTTGTCTCGTGAAGCCTCTCCGTTTGAACTGTCTCAGGCTTCTCCAGTCACCTGCTGACAACATGTCGTCCAGCCATGTTGCTCGATCTTTCTTCGCAGAGGCTTTGATCTCTCTCGAAAAACGACACTTCTCTATCAATATTGCCGGCTACCCGGGCTTGGTTGCGTTGTTCTATCAAATTCAAATTAGGCTGCCGTATCCAAGGACGATTTGCTTGCACTGGACGCCGGGTAAGACAGGCAGCCGCCGCAGTAGCCATGCCGGAAGCGACCTTGGCAGCCACTTCATCAACGGTTTCTGTCTGAAGACTTTCGTCGTCGCCACAATGCTGCAGAAATTCCGATACGAAATGCTTCAGTACGTCCTTCTGCTTGAGCGATGCCAAATCCAAGGCGTGCCGAATGGGCTTGGGGGAGGTCTTCGGGATCTCCACCGCGAGCCGAGCAATGACGAGGAAATGGTGCAATGAGAAACTTCTCGATCGATCCGCTCTGACCTCTCGAACCGTGTCCTGCCACTTCCGTTCCACCATCAAGTGGTCGATCTCGGCGCAATTCTGCGGTGTGAGCTCCGAAACAGGCGTGGCCCAGAGGTCGTAGTAGGTCATTTTCTGAACATCCGGCCTGTCCAGGAACGTGTTTGCAAGGACCATGTGTAGAGCGGTACAAACTTCGACGAGCATGTGCTGATTACTGCGAGCATCGACCGCGTTACCTGTAGGCCCCCAGGCATATGGACCGACAACGTCTGCATGATCGCACTCTGGACCAAAACGGGCATTCATGTCACCAAATACGTACAAAGGTCCATGAGGCTTGGTACGGAGAATAAAATTGTGAAGATCGCTATGGAAGTCGTGACGGACATCAAAATCAAGACCAGATTGAGGGCAGTACGCGGTAATGATAGACATGGAGCCGCCTGGGATTCGAAGCGTTAGACTAGCAAGTCTGCTCGATTCTTGAACGAAGCTCTGGACAGCGTGCCGGGCAGAAGGAGCAACCACGAAACCCACTCCTGCGTGCTCGCGGACATTCCCGTGGCCACCTGACAAAATAACTAAATGCCCTCTATGGTCAAAGAAAGTTTGGCAAAGCGTCCCGTTGGAACGCCACTTCCTTGGATGCAAGACTGCGGCCAGCGTTGTGGCGAGAGCGTCGTCTCGTTGGACCGAGGGTCTCTGGGTATGACTAACTGCTGCCATCTCTGAACCTAGGGTACCCGGTCTAAAAGGCCCGTGAGTGAACAAGCCTTCTCGAATGCCATTTGAAACATTTTTGTCCATACGGATGTACGAAATAGTTGTGCGCAAATAATGGTAGGAGGGAGGTGAGTAGTATTCAGATGGAGTTGTAAGGAAAATATCAGAAGAGGAGATGTGGGGAGCTAGAAGGGGAGAAGAGAAAGGGGGGAAGCAGGGGCAGGAGGAGACAGGAGCAGGGAACCCCCTGCCCCGTGGGTCGAGCGGTCGGGGCCAAGGCCCCAGGCAGGTACGAACACGACTTTACTCTCGACAGCTCTTTGACGCTGACCCTGAGACGACGGTATGCTGCCACAGTGCTTCCTTCGGCCTCAAGATGTCGCATGATGATGCGTGCCTGTATCGGTCGCACGAAGGAGTGACCCTTCGCCGGAGTGACCTTTGGTGCGGGCTCTTTCGGGCCTCGCGATCGCCGAACGCGAGGCGGCAGCGGCGTCTTCCGAGCTTGTGTTTGGCCCCCCCGCGGCCCCCAGAAAGCCGCGCACCAAAGGTCACGCTTACCCAGGGTCACTCCTGCGTGTAGCCGACTGTAGGGATGGTGCAAGCTTATCCGCGAACATCAGCTCAGAGCGTTGCCCGACTCGTCTTCCGTGGGCAGCTGGAGGCTTTCCTCTGGGCCAGGGTTTCACCACCCACCAAACCACCCCAACCCAACCCGAAGGCTCAAATTTACCCTCGATTTCCAGTGGGGGGGGGTCGGGAAACATCGAAAAAACACATGTGGAACCCTTACCCCCCCCCAACCCGAAATTCGGGTCTTCGGGTTGGATTGGGGTGGTCTGGTAGGTCGTCAGGGTCTGGGCGCTCCCCGACGCCCTCCGGGTGGCGCAGGCCCAGCGAGGCCACGTGCGTGGCAGGGCGGCGGTCCACACACAAGGAGCGCGCACTCGTGCGCCCCAGGCGATGCTCAAGAAAACCTAAGTTTTCGTCCAGAGTTTCGATTATTCTTAACGCTTCAATGCAAAATCCCAAGATTTTGATAGAAGTTCTGGGTTTCTTTTCAAATTCTGAGACTATGAATTTCTCAACCCATGATTTCTTAAGCATTTCGCAGGGTGTGCACACGGAGAACAGTCACATGGGGGCCAGAACCAGTCGAAAGAACTCCACCGACGCCCCCAGTGGCAGGACCCACATGACGAGCAAACAACTCACACCCATGCCCATAGGAGGGTCGAAAGGAGGGGGACTGGCTATGGGTATGGGTGCGAGTTGTCGGACCCTGGGGGAAGCTCCCGTTCGAGCGGGGACCCCCATCCGACAACACGCACCCATAACCTCCTCCGTCCCCCCTATGGGTATGGGTGCGT